GGCACAGGGCTGGGGTACACCCTGGACAGGATGCCAGCCCATCACAGGGCACAGGGCTGGGGTACACCCTGGACGGGATTCTGTGCTTATTTCTATTTACCAGAATACACAGAAGGCTGAGAGGTAAATCTTATCAATGTCTGTATCTATTACGAAGGCAAATGACCAGCTGTTATAGCGCCACCTCAGGAAGTGCAGCAGGACGCAGTGACTCAGCAGGGGCTCCTTACTTCACTGGCTCCCAGGACTCGCGCTCGAAGCCCCTGTGTATCGACTGAGCGATTGATGACTCCATCAGGTCCACATATCTAACCACCAGCGGGGCAAACAGATCCTGCAGGTGTTTGTGGAACTTTCCGTTGCACAGGTGATCTGTGGGGGATTGGGGGAAGGGTGGGGTGCAAAAATGCAAATATCAGTCAGTGAGAATCAACAGAACAGCACCACGAGACATGTTTGTTATCTGTAACAGACAAACACAGATGTCACGTAGAGTTGTCAGATAAAGGCAACGCGGGAGATCAGATGGTGTGCTCTGGTAGCCTAAAATATCTGCTTTTCATCAGCGTGCCCATGTCTGCGTGTCGCTCAAGGTTGTCAAAACGCAGTGGGTGCAGTGTTTGCTTTCTGCTGTGATTCCCCTGTACCAATTAGCCACTTCAGCGGCTGCTGTACACTTTGATTTATTTATCCAGGAGGGTGAATAACTGTCTAGTTCCTCTGGAGGCTTTGCAGCTTTGGACCTCATTAATGGGTCCTCTGGCCGCTGAGCTTAGCGCCTGGCCACCGCTAAGGCTATTTCCCGCCACATAAGCTAACTGCCAGTGAGGAAGCGTCAGATGCCCTCCCTTGTCAGATGCCCTCCTGTGTCGGATGCCCTTCCGTGCCGGATGCCCTACGTCGGCGTGTCCCTGGGCGCAATCTGAGCACAAAGCTCCTGTGCATCCAGATGGCACTGGGACTGCTGGCGAGGAAGGCAAATTGGCACTGCCCTTGCCCACAGAAGCCACTAAGGTTGCTCGATCCCCGGAGCCTGCACCTCTAGGTTACGCCATCAAGAAGGGCTCAGCAATTAAGTGGCACGTCACCTGTCACATCAGAGCTGCGGAGTAGGTGCTTGGGTGGTGGGTTTAAACATGGAAATGCATCACAGCTCTATTGCAGCTAAAAATATCAATCCACAGCCTAAACAGTCCGGGTCAGTCTGAGGCGTCGTGCTGGATTACCATCAATGCAGGGCTAGGGGTACGGTGCGGACCAATGGGTCTCACCACCAGACGGCATTTTGCCACGACATGACTTCTCAGGTCCAATCAGAACCACAAGGAGCTGAACCGCACACGCAGAAGCCCCAACAATCACTCTGATTTCACCATGGTTCAGCAAGATATGTGAATGTTTGTGTCCTGTCTGTGACTGACTAGGAGGGGGGTTTTAAACAAGGGACCCCCAAATAAATACAGACCAGGGGTAGGGACCCCCCATGTATAATGCATGATCACACAGGTACCTAAAGACGAAGGTCTGAGGGTGTTTCTTCCCCTTTGAGTATTTTTACTCTGAATGGAGTCATCATTTTCTGAAACACCTCTACCACTGTACTGTGGAAGCCCACGGGGGGGGGGGGGGGGGGGCGCACAAGAGCTGGGGCCCCCTCAGAATACGGTGCCCTAGATGGAGGATTCCTGAAGTGTGGGTTATGAGACACTGGGGGGGGGGCAATTCAGAACATTTCAGGAAATCCAAAAAAGTATTCCATTTTAAAAGTAAACAGGTTGATTGCAAAAAAGCTACCGATGGGAAACCCACCTCCCATTTGGTGAAACGGGAAACTCCTGCTCCCACCAGGTGGGAAAATCTAGCGATGCGACCCCCTGGTTGGAAAAATGGGGGTTGCAAGTCTGTGGCACTATTATTTTGGGGGTTGTGGCTTGAAAGGTTTTGGAATCCATCCCATAGACCCTAGTCCCAACCCTAAGCCATGATGCTCAAAGGCTTGACCAGCACTGCTTCTATAGGCCAGTGGGGGGGGGGCAGGTGTGTGTTGCATACTCACAGTCAATCCGAAGGAAATCATTGAGCAGCTGGAAGAGCGGAAAGCTGTCCCAGCTATCCGGGGGCTGGACCTCTAAGGCGGCATCCATGTCCACGGCATAGAGGGAGAGGAAGGTCTCAGCATGCTCCACCATCAGGTCTGACCACCAGGCGAAGGCCTTTGTGATGGGGGAGGAGGGCGGCAGAGAGGGTCAGGCAGCAGCGTCGGAGCTGTGACTGAACTACGACCTTCATTACCATAGTCAGAACCCCTAAGAGGAGATGGCCTTACTGTGATCAACCCGAACCGCCGTCTCCTCACTTTCTCTGAGGAAACCAACCATCTCCCTGTTGCTTTGTTATGATGCAGTACAGTGTATCACTCTATACTTCTGTAAATAGGCATTTCTTTTGAACGAGGTCATACTTTTCTGCTTTTCTCGTAGTTCATAGATCACTTCTGCAAATATCAAGCTATTATCAAATGCAGATTATACATTATTCCTTCCGAAAGAGAGACAAGATACAGATCTACCAACTGCTGACTCTCATTTTGCAAGCGGACACCGACATGTCTGTAGGGTTGCTGGTGAATGGCAACGGAGCAGGGCATTCTGGGAAGGTTAGGGGGTTACAGGGACGTCGGGGCAGCCTTCTCATGCAAGAGGGAGGGCCTCCATGCTATCGTCCCTCTCAGGTCGGGCGTCCCGGCCTGGCATTCGCATCACAGCTCGGCCTTGATGCGAATGTCTTGTGTGGTGTTCATGCACTCCAAGCACCTTTCTGCTCTCCCCCCATTTTGAAAATGTCAACATGCAGTGAAGCACGTCACCAGCAACAGGGTATCCTGGGCCAAAAGCCCTCGGTCTTTCACCCAAACCTGGGGAACCTTTTTGCCCAAAAAAAACAGAAGAAAACAAAAAGCCCCACCTTCTGTTTTGGTTTTCATGTTTCAGCCAATGGGATGGCAGGGGAGAGAAAGCGTCAGAGAACTCTCAAATATATATGTTGCTAGTGAGTTTTCATACTATTCCATCCACTGATAGTTGATGAAAATCCATGTCTAAGTTCTAGTGAGGAGAGAGTTTGGTTTTCCTAATGAGACACATGCTTCTTCTGTCAAGACACCAATTATCTGTATGAACATCTGCCTGAGATAGGTATGGCCCATAATGTGCCCCACAGGGTCTTTCCTCCATTCACTTACCTCAGTAAGAAGACAGAATGCTAGCTTTACAAGACGCGAATGACACACAGTAGGTCTGGCCCCAATGTTAGCTGGCAGAAGCTAGCAAGCAAAAAATGACCTACATAGGTTGTTGTTGTGGGAGGGCAAAGAAGAAGGTGCTTGTGGGAGGCAGGTAGAGGAAGGGGCCCAAAGCATTACAAGCCAGATTGCTTGTGGGGAGGCTTTTGTGCCTCATTGTTAACAGGGCCAAAGGCTACAGTAGCACACGTACGACTAAGTGACAACAGAGACACACGAAGGAAGTGTGACCCTGGGAGAGATAATCCCCAGTGAGTAGGAAGGGCGTTGGGCGGACATGCTCACACCATAATGCTGAGACGTACCTCTTTAGCCTGCCCCGGATCATCCCATATGTAATGAACAGTGGCAGCAACGGAGAAAGTCAAACAGTCCATTGGGAACTACAGCTAGAGAAGTCTTTGGGAGTCACATAGACTCACAGAGAGACGGCCGTAATTTAGCGGGAAATACACACAGCAGCTAAAAAACAGATGGCAATAAACTGAACCAGGTATGGAACATGTTTTGGTGCTTAATAATGCTGCTGTAAAAGGATCTCTGTTAGACAGAGAGGACCGCTGAATTCTGAGACAGTATTAAGTGTTCATCTCAAACTAAGCCAAGCACGTCTATGTCTTGCAGAGGTATTGTGATGGATAGTGATGTCATAACAGATCCACCCTCAGAACCCTTAATTAGATATTACAGATTCTCATTTGGTCCCGTTTGAAGCCGAGAGATACATTTCACAAACACCTTGACCACCTGGAGATGATTCGGCCATCGTAGGATGGTTTTCCCCCCTTTGCCATATTTCTGACTTCCTGTAGACCCCATTAACTGATCTCAAGCATCTGGGAGTCGGGACATTCTCAGAGGATGCTGAAGCTGAAGCTGCCTGTCCTCGTTGCCGTGCTTCAGTGGAATGGAGCCACACCCATGCAATGGCTGAGCGAGGAATGACTGCTCCCCCCACCCCCGCCTTCTTCTACCGCAGAAAGGAGACCGTGAGCTTTCCCCCGATCTTTAAACCTCATCAATAACATGCGTCGTAAATGTGTGCGGTGACTTAAGCAAGAGGAACAGAAACATATATACTATACCGACTGATCCCCCGCGCCCATGACAGCAGCCTGTTGGGGATATTCAGAGAGACACCAGAAATCTGAATGACTGTGAAAGCAGTAGATGGACCATCTCAAATTACGTTTATATAACTGCCTAAGGCTTTATCAGTAACACTGTATCGTTCTTGGCACAAGATCCCCATTCCAAAAGTTTATAAGTGCAGTTACTGGTCCTCCCTTTGCAGACCAACTGCAGCAAGGGTAACATCAGAACACAGGCAACGCTGGCTAGAAACACCTGCCTATTTTTGTTAAGTCACATGAATTGTTGGGTATTGTGGGTAAGAAGCAGATAGTGTTGACAAGATAGCAATATAGGGGTATTCCGGACCAGGAAATGATGCAGATGCGAGGATTGGAACGTCACTCACCTCGGCGTGATGCTCCTCATTCTGCTGAAGGACCTCGATGACCAATTCGGCCAGGCGAATGGTGTCTTCCAGCTTTTTGGCGGGAGTGACTAAGCGGCCTACGTTCTCTGAAGTGAAAGGGAGTGGTCAGAAAAGTCCTAACAGCTTTTTTAAAGCCAGATTTGTCAACTCACAGCAAAGCGATCTTATGGGTTGCCGGTCTACATGCAGGAATTGCGAGTGTCACTGCTATCAATCTTTATCGAATACAGCAGAGTTCCAGGAGTAGCCCCAAGATTTAACATGGATTTACGTAGAGCATTGCGAATAGGGACGCAATGGCTGCAAAAAGCTAATGCATTTGAGAGGATAACAAATTATATCCAAATTAAGTTTATAACTGTTTAATGCAGGACTATGCAAGACCAGCAGCCATCGGAGGTATTAATAACAGATCTGCCAGTTATGTGACACAGTAGCACATGCACATGCAATAGCTAGTTTGCCTGAGAACCTGAGCATTCACTGGGTCTGTTATTTCCCAAGTTAAGCTGTCACCAGCACAGCAGTGAGTTACTCAGTATAGTTAAGCAATGAATAAAATTAAAATAAGAAAACAGTTATCATGCAGAATGTACAGGAGGTGCAGTATGTTCATTCGTGCCGACATCAAGACTTAAATGTTGCATATGTGACAGATACTACTAAACAGAAACATGGGAGAGACTCTGCAATCTAATGGCCATCTTTGCTAAGTCCAGTGCTTCTTATATCTAAGACAAATGAATTTGCAAGAACAAATTACAGAACTACATAAATATCTAAAATATGCTTGACCATTAAAAATAATTTACACATTGAAATCAAAAAGAAAATATGCAATAAATGCACAACTGCGTGTTTATGTAATCTGGAAATGCCTCTAATGTCTACCTACAAATAAACAAGTGGAGCTTCCATGCAACTGGACAAGAGACAGAGAAGGGAAACAATCGTGTGATCATGTGACCGTGATCATGTGACCGATGACGTGGCAATGAGTGCAAAGGAAACACACCGATGGTGCTGGAGGAAATAAGTGGGACATGTTATCTTCTCAATCCCAGGACTGACTGAGAAACGTATTTGGATCAACACATCCCACCCGTTTTCTATTTTCTGTTTCTCATCAGGAAACTTACAGGCATGTGACTAGCCCAGGTACCTTCTGTAGTTAATCCTTTTGAGTTTGACTCCCTGAGAAGTACAAAGAGCTGTTGAGTGTGTTGTGTGTCTAGCTGCAAACTGTTTGAGTCCTTCCTGTGCTATACTGACCCATGAGTGTGGAGACATTCAATGGACTGAACTCCACATATGCTGTCTATGAGGGGTCATGTGACTTAGACTCCAAGTGTTGAAAAGCAGATTGTTCACCTAAAGGGGGTAAGAGCTAGTCTACCTCACATGGTCACATGGGGCCTATATGGTTTCTCAACCAATAATGTGCCGTCACAAGCACACCAACACTTTTTCTTTAAGAACCAGGTGTCTTCTGATATCTGCTAATGTCATGCACCATGTAGAGCAGGGGTCTCCAACTCCGGTCCTGGAGAGCTACCGTCCAGTAGGTTTTCTATCATACCCGGCTTCTAATGAGCCACACCTGTTCTCAGGTAAATACCAGGAGCAGGTGTGGCTCATCAGAAGCCAAGTGGGACAGAATGCCTACTGGATAGTAGCCCTCCAGGACCGGAGTTGGAGACCCCTGATGTAGAGTGACTTTAAATATGTCATGGAAACCCTTAAGAAACAATAACGGGTATTCTTCCAAACCAGTAATGGAGAAGACTCAATAAACAAGCTGCCTTGTGCTACCGTTGTCAAGGTACGCCAGCCATTAAGAATTTAACGCCTGTTTTCTACAGGTCCAGTAGCAAACTGTCAGCATAAATAAAGTGTCTGTCATTCATTCCATCATATTCCTGTCTGACTGGGTATCACTTTAGTCTCTGACTAGATCCTTGAGGTCAGCCGATAAGCTGCTTTTATTTGTTCCATGAATACTTTAAAAACTACGGGGGGTCGGGCCTTTCCCAAACTTTGGAACAGTCTTCCCGTCAGTCAGGTCTGCTTCCTCTAAAGATAGTTTCAAATCTAATCTTAAAACACATCTTCATGCATTATCATTGCCTGGGTCATAGTTAATCTTATCAGTTCTTTTACTTTTTGTACTAGTTATATTTGTGTATTTACTGTTTATATTTGTTACCTTTTATTTTAATTAGTGCTGTCAAATGATTCCATTTTTTTATCAGATTAATCACAGGGTTGCTGTGGATTAATTTCGATTAATCATGATTAAATATCATTCATTTTTAATCTATATTAATCACATTTCATTTTGCATGAGCAAACAGACTCAAGAAAAAAGGGAATATATATGCACTTAACATGTTTATTGAACATCTTGAACATGAGTCGGATGCATTCCATCTGCCACAGAGGTGCAATACCATGGACCCATATCAAAAAGCAAGATTTTTTGCTTGTCGGATTTAAGGTACCTCAGTTTAAATATTCTTTATCTTTGTTCGCTTACAATTAGCACGAACTACTGTAAATCCGATAAATAATCCAAGTAATCATGATGTCCAATTCTAGCCCGGTTAATTGCCATTGTTAGCAATATCAGTTGATAACACATTACGCGCGGTGCTTTACATATCAAACTCCGTAGCAACACATCCACAGATAAGTTGGACGGTATAGCGTGTGCGACTTATTTAATGAGCCACAAATGAGAAGTAGTGCTTAAACAGTATAAAACTACAACTTTCCCTTCTGTTGATGAAGGGCGCAGCCATCTTGGATTCTGAACTCGGGATCCTCTTTGCTGCTCCAAGATATTTCTCAGATCTCCGAGAAACAGGAGCGCATGTCGTCACTTCCGGCTTCAAAACTCCGGAATCCGACTCGGAATACGAGTTCCGAGGGCAAATGGAACGAACTAAAACTGCCCGAAATGGGTTGACAGAGACATTTCAGGGATTTTGAATCATTCTGCGCTGCAGATGAGTTAATTGCGTTAAAAATTTTAATCAGATTAATCATGATGATGGATCAATCCGCGTTAACCCGTTAATTTTGACAGCCCTAATTTTAATTTAATTGCCTTTACGTATTACCTTTATGTATTACTTGTTAGTATTACCCTTACGTATTACCTCTATGTATTACCTGTACGTATTACCTGTATGTATTACCTGTACGTATTACCTTTACGTATTACCTGTTAGTATTACCCTTACGTATTACCTCTATGTATTACCTGTACGTATCACCTGTATGTATTACCTGTACGTATTACCTTTACGTATTACCTGTTAGTATTACCCTTATGTATTACCTCTAGGTATTACTTGTACGTATTACCTTTACGTATTACCTGTTATTATTACCCTTACGTATTACCTCTACGTATTACTTGTACGTATCACCTTTACGTATCACCTTTACGTATCACCTTTACGTATCACCTGTACGTATCACTTGTACATATCACCTGTATGTATTACCTGTACGTATTACCTTTACGTATTACCTGTACATATCACCTGTACGTATCACTTGTACGTATCACCTTTATGTATTACCTGTACATATTACCTGTACATATCACCTGTATGTATTACCTGTACATATTACCTGTACATATCACCTGTATGTATTACCTGTACGTATTACCTTTACGTATTACCTGTTATTATTACCCTTACGTATTACCTCTACGTATTACTTGTACGTATCACCTGTACGTATCACCTGTATGTATCACCTGTATGTATTACCTGTACGTATACAGCCATTCTGTCCTACCTATGGAGACCAAAATCTGTAAAAGAGCCGTGCTCTGTAGAGCAGGCTCAGCGTGAAATTTATCACTTATGAAACAAATACAGCAGACACTGTTTGTCACCAATAAACAATCTGATGAATAACATATAGATTTACTACAACCATTACACAGATATCTCGGCAAGACCATGGAACCCGTGTCCTACAACAGCCTGCCAAAGTACGTCCTGTATCGGCCTGAAGCCTTTAGACTTAAGTTGCACTGTTTTTCTGAGGGATAACTTTTGCTTGTGAACAACTATCCAGTAAGTACGTGGAACAGTAACAGTGATGATAATAATTCACTATTATCATCAGAGAAGGCGTAACACTTCACTCATTTCCAATGTGGTAAATGAAACCATTGATATTGTTGTGAAAATTAGTATTAATGTTACTAAAACCAGATCTGAACAGTGAGATATTTAGGGAAATCATCCAAAGGTATCAGGTTTTTGTTACTCTTATAGGTAGCTTCATGTAAACACACTGGAAATGCTGAGGGCTGTTTGCTTTTTAAGACAGTATTGTTTTATTAGCAAACTTGAATAATTTCAAAAATAATATTTCATTGTATGAACAAAAACCTCACAGTTAACAAGGTTGCAAGAAAGCAATACTGCTTAAAACCCGTGACACGATGGCTGTCACACGGGTCGTCTCTGCAGTTGGGTTGTCTGACACCACGCATGCAGGGTCACCGGCACAAATTATGGGGGGGGCAACTCCACTTGGGGGCCGCGATGGAGAGGAAGCTGGAGGGGGAGAGGGCCGTAACGCTGTCACAATGCTTCTGCGCCATGGTGACGCCCCTGCCACCAGTGGCATGAGAGCAGCAGCATTGTGAGACCGTTAGGATACCAGCTAGGTGGGAGTATCTAACCAGCAGAACAGGACTATGCTCTAATGATCTCGGCAACGAGGAGGACAGAGAGGTTCACCTGGATCCTGTTGATCCTTCTGATCTTTCTCTACTTCAGAGAGAGAAAAAAGAAGAGAGAAAGAGAGGAGGAGAAAACAGAGAGAGGAAGAGGGAGAAAGGCAGCATTAGTGAGAAAGTTAGAAAGGTGTACGATCCTGAGGTCGGTCACCGGCCATCGGCCTCCGGTACTCAGCCCTCATCTGCATGAAGGAGTCGCTGCCAGGCTCTCGGGTAACTCAGCTGTCTCTACATACGTTTGCTTTTCTCCACAGCGGGATGGATGTTGAGGCAGCAGTTGAGTTGGGAAAACAAAACCAAACACCAACAAAACAGTGAAACGAAACGAAGGGCGGCAGCTCCAAATGCAACCAGTGAGACATAAAAAAGCCGTTGTAGTAACAGACAGGACAGACAAGTCCATGATTTGAGCTGAAACGTGTGCGGCGCTTGACATTGACAGACAATGGCTTGACTTTCTTGTCGTACTTTACAGCTCCTGTTTTCTAAAGCCCTGACTCACCGTGAAATAGGCCTGTCATACCTGACACGTGCAGTGTAACCAGTGACACAATGTGACCAGTGACACGTCCAGACAACTGAGGAACTACACAGAAGCAAAGTAAAAATGCATTCAAGTCACAGACATAAACGATCACGCAAAAAAGCTAGCAGCTATCCCACGGTCGTCACGAAAAACAAATGGACCACTTGTAATTTCTGATTGGTGTTGACAGGACCCGGTTGGATTTCTCACACTTGGTTTCACAGACAGAAGCAAACAGAGAAAAGGTAAAGGAGACTTCAAGCGAGAAAGAGCTAGCAGTCAGGGGCTGTTTGAAGCGTGCTGTCTGAAGGTGGAAAACAGAGGGATGGGTGACATTATGGCGTAGGTACTCACGAATGGTTAAATCCATCACTTGAGACGCCAAGCAGAAGACAGGATGCTCATACATTTCTCTCTTTTTCCCTATAAAAGAGGATTTGGGCATGCAAGAGGCTTAGGTCAGAGGTGAAGAGGTCAGAGGTCAGAGGATTACTGCTCCTTAGGTCTGGAGGCGAGAGCTGCAGTGGGCTTAGTGGCTTCAGGTGGTCAAAGGAGAAGAACCTCCAGTTCCGGAGAGACTGCTAGGGTGCTTTCGCAGAAGGTCATTTTTAATTGTTTAACCATTCAACATGTTCAAGGCCATGACGTGAGAATGCCTGATAATTTTCTCTCAAATTAAATTATCATTAATCATGGTAAAGAAATAATGAAGAAGGCAAACAGCTCTACAAGGCTCAAGATACAACGAGAGGAAGCCTTCAGTATCTTCAGTGTCCCAGGATTTTCTTTGTAGACATTGACTGCCGCAGGGTAATCGGAGAGATAGCGCCGTAGGCTATTCCGATGTTTGTCTATAGATGTATATAGCCATATGCTATATACTTGTACACTTTATAAACACTTATAAAACAGTAACAGAGACTGTGAATACGCCACGTCTGCCAAACATGTCACATAGTTTGAAATACATTTTGACAGGGTGATGGGCATCCAGCTAAGTCTATGTCTATCAAAGAAAACCTCACGCATGCAGCTGACAGATGCTGGGCTGCTTGACCAGGCAATCCCAGGGTGCTTTGTGTATTGGCTGTCTATTGGCTTTCCAACAAGCTATAAATAAGCAACAAAGCCAATAAACGAGGGAGGGGATAAGGGTGGAGCAGCATCAGAGTAAGTATGGAGCAGCAGTTTGGAAGGTAGGGAAATGAGGGTGGGAGGAAGAAAAATGTGCTTCTTCAGAGTTTTCCCAGACCTAGACGTCGCCATGTGAGTGACCAGGCAAGCTTTAGAAGAAACAGCAGCAAGTGAGACATGGAGGGAGCCAAGGTAAAGTGTGAGATCTGCAGGATTTTCGATTTGAATGCATTTTTACTTACACATCGCTAACACAGCATCAGTGACCTACAGCAACTGCACTTGGGACAAGATTCATGAGTGAGGAGCAGACCTGAAACAAAGGTCCCACCCGAACCTGTATTCCAAGACAGTCTCAGCTTTGCTGCACGCGATCCGTCCCCCGCTGCATGGCGGACACCTCCAGCCAACTGCAGACCACAGCCATCATATGGAAGATGCTTATCATCCACATACCATCAGGTCTGACCTGCGTTTGGAGCTCTCTCATCCGCCATCATTCTGCATCAGCCCTGGATGTTCATACTTTTTCACTGTTGACAGATTCTTTAAATTTTCCTAACTGCAAAACTACTCAAAGAAAGTACATATCCCCTAGCTAGGCAAGCTAGTTTTGTACAAATTAAATTAATTTCTGTAAAATAAATAATCCAGTATCAATGTAAGTCCTCAGAATCAACCTCAGACCATCAGCTTGTGGGTTACCTGTGCATTTATGCAACAACAAAGCAGTTCTACTTTTGTATGATAGTACAATGATAGTATGATGGCATTAACACCACTCTGTTTGTAACATAAATGCCCATGTGACATGTGTGTGATGGTGTCACCACTGTGTTTTGGGAGGCTACAGATAAATACATTGAATTGAATTCCAGGATTGAATCTATTTGTTCTTTTGCATATGCTTCCTGTCGCGTGTGAATTTCCCAACAGGTGGCGCTATAGTGAAGTCTTTTGGGCAGATAATTGTTTTCAGGCATTGCTTTTGGTATGTTTGCTAAAATCAACACATGATATCAGATCGAAGAAACAACGAGAAAAAAACCACTAAACCATGGAGTATGAAATCTGCCTGTAAAACAGTGTTATAACCTATGACATAAAACATTTAAGCAAAACAAAAAAAAAACAATAAATCAATTACTGTATTCTCAATAAAACTTATTTATATAGAAGTGTATAAAGGCATTTTCCAGAAGGGTAGAGGTATTTTTACATGAAGCAGCACAAATTACTGGTCATCCACATACCACATATTCCTTCACCAGAAATAAAGAATGAAGAATTCAATGTATTTTATTATCATTCTATCTTATCTGTTTTCTTTACTCTATCCAAGTAAGTGCACTTATTGGCCACTGTTCACACTGCTGACGATGCAGCTCAGCATCGCGCTTGTGTTCCCAGATCAGTGTGGTTTTATAACTTACTGTACAGGATCTTTGCAGATGAAGGTACTGTATGTGTATGTGTTCCTTACAAAAATGCCTGAACTGTTCTTCCAGATCAGTTCTATCCTACAAAATATATGTTTGCACTTCTGAGTCTAGATCAGCCTCTGACAATTATGTCACAATATACCCTGTGATAACTAGATGTCACTCTTCCCTATTCAGTTCCTTCCAATAAAGCCCTTATAGGATGAAGCTGGCTGTTCCCTGATTGGGTCCTGACAAACTCCTCGGGATCCCGGCCAGCCATCAATCAGATCAATCGGAGGAAATGAAATGTTGAGCGGCAAATACATTGGATGCCTCTGTTCACAGATGACTATAACGTACCATACACCCTAATTTTTCAGGTGAAGCATTCTTTTCCCAGATTGTCAGGGTCAGCACCTGTTTTGTCCCAGTCTTGTGTCTTCTCCCCGTTTGGCCAGCAGGTGTCGCTGGCCATCCTGTCCTCCCTGTTGTCAGTCTGTAGTGTTTCCCCTGCTCCCTGTCAGCTGCATAGCTCAATGAGCTCAGCATGTGGCAACCTAATTAATTCCTCTGTTGTGTGTTCAAATCCCATCTTCTCTGTTTTTGTATTTTGTTCCCTAGTGTTTCATTGGTATCAGTTTTTCTAGGTCCTGTGATTTTGTGGTTTCTTTTTTGTTATGGTTTCTTGCTTAGTGCCTTGGTTGTGTTTTACTGGTTGTTGTCTTTCTTATTTCCCCAGTGTTATATTCTGTTTTCCTTGTTTCTTTGTCAGTTCCTAGTCTCCCTGTTTAGTTTCTGAGTTAATTATTAGTTTCGCCTGTTCTTGTGCCTGTCCTTGTGTGTTTGCCTGATTGCTCGTTGTCCTGCACCCTCCCCAATTGGTTAATTGTCTGTCTCACTCCTGCTTCTCGTTACCCGGTTCAGTTTTTGTATTTAAGTTCCTGCCTGAGTTTAGTTCCCCAGTGGGTCTTTGTATGTGATGGATGTTGGATGTTGTGTGATTTGTAACCTACCTGCCCCCTTTGTAGTTAGTCTTTGTTTTTCCCCTTTTACTTTTGACCCCTCGTGATCAGTTGCTGACTGTAATACCCCCAACACCCTGTGTTTCCCAGATCAGCTCCTGATTATGTTTGCTATGGATGTTTTCAGGTTCCAGAGCATTTCCTTACAATAGTGCATCATTGACCATACTACTGTACTAGCACAGTGAGGTTTATCATGATTGATCATACAGAACACCCTGTGTGTGAAGGTCTGTTCCTGGATTAGTTCTTTATTATAATGTACCAATTTGTAAATGGAGGTCTGTGTTATTCAAACAGATTCTTACTATAATGGAGGACAGAGACTATTCCATATTCTGTTCCCAGATCAACTACTGTCTATAATGTTCAATACACCCTGTTTGTGGTAGACATCGATGTTCCCAGATCTTACATTCTGGATTTACCAGGGGAGGTATCACTTGGAGAATCTGTCCCTTACTATAATGTACCACGCACCCAGTATTAGCACATTTCTGTTTCCAGTTCAGTCCTTTACTATACTGTACAAAACAGAGGAAGGTTGCCATTTCCGGATCAGTTCCTTACTGTAATGTATTCTAAACTCTGTGGTGACACAGCACGGGCCCCCGTTTGTGGACGTGCACCAGCATTTACCTTCCACTTTAGCGTACTCGGAAAGCCGCTGGTAGTTGACCAGAGCTGCCTGCTCCAAACAGCTGCGGATGACGGCCTTCACCTCCTCCTGTGGGACGGGGGTTACTATGTCTTTCATGAGGACCTGAGGAAATGACAGGAAGACAGTGCTGCTCAGTCTCTTGTCAGACTCAGCAGAATTACCTCCCACACTCAGAAGCTACAGGCTGGTCTGTGTGACTTAAACTGAATCTATATCCATCATTTATTTTTTTTCTCACACAGGAAAATAAGAATAGAAAAAATTCACAACAATAAAATCTCATAATATCTCATTTTAAAAATCTCATAAAATTGTTTAAAAATGATTAATAAAATACACAATATCACACAGCCCGCACCCCGAGACATTCTCTGCAGATGGTTCGATGACGTTCAAAATGAAAACAAAATGTTCCACCTTTGTGGCTTCAGGCACTAAAATCATCTTAGTATGAGTTCATCATTTATAAAGTTACTGGAGGTCAAAGGCATGAATCATTCCACATGGCTGCATTTACTTATGTCACCTGAGATCTGCTTTTAAAAATGACCAAATGCATTGTGGCCAGTTCACATCAGCTTGTTTTAGTCAAAAAAGCTGAACTTGGTAAGAAATACAGCAGAAACAAACACGTTTGGTTAAAAATCACAAGATAGAAAGGTCTGCCCATCTACTAAGCAAGCAAATAAATAAATCAAGAATGAAAGAGCAAGAAAAACTATTTCAGGGAAGTTTCTCTTAAAGAAGCTACTTTTTGTTGCATAACCAGTGATCATGGCCACAGCATAGAGAAGACAGATGGATGGAATCCTTTGCATCATACTTTCTGTTAGAGAGGCTATTTCATGAAATCTTCTGCATACCCTTTCTAGTAAAGACAGCGTGGCTTTTAAAGCTCCTTCAGGCCGGCCAAACGGGAAGCAATACCTGGCGAGAGAAATTACAGCATGTGGGCAATATGCATCTCAAATGAGGGGCTCCACATGCTATCCCCATGCTATCCCCATGCTATCCCCACTCTATCCCCAGCTATCCCCATGCTATCCCCACTCTATCCCCAGCTATCCCCATGCTATCCCCACTCTATCCCCAGCTATCCACACACTGTCCTCCTGCTATCCACACACTGTCCTCCTGCTATCCCTCCAGTTATGCCCATGCTATCCCCCTAGCTATTCCCACACTGTCTCTGGTAGAGCACAATAAGTGTTTTCATTAACTTTAATGTACCAGTGTTCGAAAGGTATTTTTCTTGTGCTGAACAATTCACCATAGCTCTTGAGTCAATAGGGACGAAATCAGAATATAAAGCTCTTATCCACTGTTGAAAGTTGCCAGTGAAGAGCAGCTGGGCCCAGCAGCACCTGAAATGTGTGATCTGGTTCTCCAGAAGAACCCGTAGACGCTCCTTGATCTCCTCAAAACGCTCTTTCTCCTCCACCGTCACTGTCCCAATCCCGTCTGGCCTGGAATCACACGCATATGCATTGGTGTCGGCGAATACAGCAACAAAAAATCCCAATGAAAATGCATGTGCTCTCAGTGCTTGTGTGGACTCATCTGATGTGTTGAGTGGGACTGGTATCCTCTCTTTACCTTCTGGTTACCATGTCCATGTTAGGAACTTATCCAATGCCCACCTCAAGTTGCTGGATCAACTACCCATACTCACTATAGCACAGATAGTATTTTATGCTTTAAATTTGTATATTTGAAGGTATACTATTTTCTGTAAGTGTTCATCAGTCACCCTCCTTTGAAGGAGGATCACTGAAGAATTTTTTCATAGAATTTAAATTTCTTGTGGCAATTAGAGTATAAAAAATTGTTCAATATGTAGATAAAAATAGAATTTTACTGGAATTAAATCCTCAATCCCAGAATCCTCAGTGCCATGACACCTGTCCGTGGCCTAATCCTCTGAGGTCCTGGGGAGCTCGGGGGGGCGGGTAGCCGCTGAAAGGCCCGGGGGAGGGATTTACACCTGTGCAGCACCCTCGTCTGTGGTGTCTGTTTCTGTGCAGTGAGACCTTTCAGCTGAATAAACCAAGTCCCTCCTTTAGGTCTGGGGCCTGAGCTGGGCTTTCGCCCCCCCCCCCCCCCCATACAGTTGTGTGCCACAAAAGGCCAGGAGCTCACAAAGGCCCCAATAAACCAGCAGTCAGGGGTTAATGGGCTGGCTTTATCCTTCCTAAGTCTCTGCAGGCCATTCACTACCTGAGGCCAGACAGGGCAGGAAAATAACCCCAAATTACCACTGTCATGTTCCCCTGACCTTTGAGTAGGAAGACATGTATTAAAACGTCAATGTCCCCGTCCACAAAGGGAAAACGCATCTTTTACACGACGACTAATGCGCTCCCCTCGTTTAACAATGGGGCACCTCCGAACACACAAGCATCACGCCCTGCAAGCCGTAAGGAGCACTGGTCTCCAGTCAGACCCGCACGCGCCAGTCCTGGAAGTCTGGCTCATGAAGAAATGGTTTAAACTGAACTTTTGAATGAGATTAATAGTATTGATTGAAAAACAGTCTTCAATTTTTGTCATGCAATAAAAACAACTGTTAGGGTATTTTTTCAATGTCAAATCCTGAACTGTGTATGTGGCCATAACATCCTCACCACACTCATGATCTGACCTTGCTCAGCCCTCAAAATCCTACCAGTCAGGAAGAAATGGACTGTGGGTTATGCTCTATATGCCTCTCTGCCTGTGATTCAGGATGGGGGGGTGGTGATTCTGCATCATATCCATAAAGGCCTGGAAGCCTGAATCACTCCTTGGACCATCTAGAAACTGCAGCCACATTTGAGGCAATGCATTCAGCCCCCCGAGCACCTTGTATATCCCAACCCCTCTGCTCTCACGCCGAGGGTCGTGTCAACCCACCTGCCTGCTGGCCTCACGTGACCCTCCTCAGCCGTGTCACAAACAATGATGCCCCCCAATGTCCCCCGTCCCACCCTACACACATGTAATGGCAGGCCGTCCCGCGCAGGCCTGCGCATATCACAGGGTAAGTCTGGGAAAAATCCAGAAAAGAAATCCAAGTATTGATAACCAAGGCAGTAATTATAATCTTGTCCCTCCTCCAACACACTCTCTTCATACCTACACAAAATGACTCTTGGACATGGAGCGATAAACTGAGCAGTATTAGCGCTTCAGCTAACGCTACATGTCGCTCTTTGGCTACGAATGTATGTTTCTCTAGACCAGATTGCGTTGGAGTCAGCAGCGAGGTGATGGCCGTCCAGCTGGTTCCGGAAGGACCTCGGACAGTGGCAGGACAGCCGCTCCCCATGACGGGCTGTCATCCTGTCATCCTGGACCTCCAGGCTGACCCGCACGCCCCCGTCCCCGTCGTCCATCCTCTCTGACTCCCAGCGTCTCCCTGTCCGACCTGATCATCGCACGGCGGGAACAGACAGCCCACCTCCATGCCATCAGGATCTGTCACCCGACTGGCGGACTGACAGGCGCGGCCTGTGACCTTCTCTCAAGATGACGCGGGGGGCTTGTTTGTATGCTAAGTGAAAGCAAGTAGCGGCCATATTTGGGTGGCCGCTGGAGTCGGTGCTGACGTTGGGTTGTGCGGGACTCGCTCCGATTAGTCATGCCCAGCTGAGCGTGTCCCTTTCTCACGTTTTAATGATACCCAGTTCTCAAGTAAAACAACTCTTTAATAAACCACTATTTGCTATCCATCTATGCAAATCACTTTGTGAATTGGTATTTTTAAATACCAGTTTCCTTTGTTTGGGATAAAACATGGCATTTGTGCGGCAGTCTGTCCCAAACTCATCCAGTTGAATATCGTGACCCCTCCTTCAAAGGGTCAGATAATTACAAGGGGCCCTGTGAATAGCTACAATGGAGAGGACAAAAACTCGGGCTTTACCTTTTAGGTTCAGTGGCCGGCTGCAATTTGGAATCCCTTTTTTTTTTGGACTCCTTTTTGGGGAGGGTCTGAGGCTCAGTGACTGAGAGTGGAGCCCTGCCCCCCTCAGGCCCTGGCCACACCGCGCCCCCTAATTCGGGCCAGTTGGGTCTTTGGGTGTGTGGCGTGGGGTGAGTGGTGTTTGGAATTATGAGATTAAGAAAAAAAGATAAAGAAAAGTAAGATGCAAACAAATCACAATGACAAACAAGGAAAAAAAAATCACTGAAATTGAGCATAACGTAAAGAAAGTCTTAAAGTGGAACATGTGACCATGGGGCAGATCGGTCAGAAGGGAGAGGAAGATGAACCGGTGTCTCCGCCTGAAAGGGAGTCAGTACTGATCCATAAGGAGCCAGTTCTTCCGGGTCAGCATTGTTCCAGCTGTCCAGCAGCGTATAAGGGTGTGGGGGGGTGGGTTTGTCTGCCTACCTATTACCGTGGGGGGGCTGTCTGCCTACCTATTCCTATGGGGGACGCTGTCTGCCTATCTGTTCCTGTGTGGGGGGGGCTGCTGGCTGCCTACCTGTTCCCATGGACGTGTGAGGCACAGAAGGCGAAGCTGTAGTGCAGCAGGGTGGGGTCGATCATGGCGCCGTTCTCAGCCCGCTCCAGCAGGTCATTCAGGTAGCACAGGTGCCTGTGACACCCCCGTACGCCGTTCCGGGCGCAGTACTCGTCCAGGACGAAGACCTGACCTGGACTGAACCAGCCCTGCACACGGAGACACTGAGACCGTCAGGGAGCTGGCTAACCCCAAAGGGCCATTTAAGTGTTTGTGTTTTTTTTTAAATTCCTAATATAGTATTACATCAATCTGCTTGAGGAAACATGCCAGCTTAGTGTGACAGTGTGGGAACCACAGGGCGAAGTCTGCATGTCCTCACCAGGCAGGAGTATGAGTCGTTCAGCCTGTGATCCAGGGTGAGTCGCTGTAGCGCCTCAAACAGCGAGGCGTGATTGAAGCTGCACGGATTGGTGGAGATAAATTCGTCCATCCCATGTTTCTGAGCTCTGTCCGCATCTAATCCAGGCAGACCATAGGCGGGAAAGGGGCGGGATTCACAAAAGGCACCATGTCAGCAGGGGCAACGATGCCTGTTCTAGGACATGTCATTCAATACTGCCCTCTACCTGTGAGAGGCCACACTACAGCAAAAAACCACACAGCTAATCAGCTTCATTGTCAACTTGCATCTTGGTAAAAAACAAGGCACTGAACTGAACCGAAAGAAATTTGCCAAATTTCTGGTGCACCACTAGCAATACAGACACACTCAAGTCCAAATTAACTTTAAAGTGATACCTGCATTCACAATCATTTAGAAATTTTGACTTGTAAGTGTATTCCGTGAACTCAACGACAGATATAAGCTTCAGTTTAAATAAATCAATAAAAAAACTGCCATAACTAATAGCAGAGCTCAACACCACGACGAATTCCAACGGCCATTTTGATCGAAATGCAATTTCTACGGCAGATATTTTAAAACGTAGCCTGGATCATGGCATCTTGCCACAGACATGCATGAGTCTTTACGCGGACATGTTTGCCCGTGTGCGGACAGGCTGACGGTCGCTGGCTAGCAGCCACACTGCAGCGATTGCTTGTTAATCATTTCAAATAAAATAAAGAACGACGGGGGGGGGCGGAGCACCAGAAGCGCACAGCGAGGGCTACATCCTGGCGTCTGCGATGAATTAATAGCCCGAGTGTGCTCACACTCGGCCATTCAGCCAAGCCCTGCAGGCAGTGCTCCTGGGGTAGGCCTAATTAATCCCACCCCATGCGACTAAAACACGGCCCACAAACAGTCAATGCAATGGGGGAATGGCCCACTGAAGCCCCCCCACCCCGACACCTTTGTTCATTAAAGGATAAATAAATGAGACAACATATTTTCACTTTTCATTACTGTTAGTGCCTTTGCCATTAGCAATAGATGAAGCCCTGAGTAAACAGGCGGCGTTTAATCCCAGACCTGACCACTGCAATCTACTTCTGCTTTAATGCCCCTTTTACTCAGGATTTAATGTCTGTATGGAGGCTGGCACTCATTAGCTGGAACTAGTTTGAGCAAAGTCTAAGTAAACAAACTTTCTTAAATTTCGTTTAGTAATCTTAAAGGTCAACAAAGGATCAGAATTAATTTACAAAATATAGCTTCATCTGTTTATTTAAGCTGCCACAATTCCCTGAGAGATTCTGTTGCTTAATTAAATATATACGCAGATATTTAAATAAGACAATAATACAGAATTTTTTTCTATTAAAAAGTTCAAATGAACAAACGATAAGATAAATCATTTAGTTTGATTAAACATAACATTAATTGTTCCATTCTGTTATTGTTGAACTGACCAGAGGTAAAAAATGTTTGTTCTTTTTTTCCACAATGACATCATGAACGCAAAACCCCGGACAAAAAGGTGACTTGGTGTCTTTCTGATGTGGCTCAACATGATCTTGTCATGTCTGACATTACAGCAGCACAGACGAGTGTCTAGACAGTAACAGGCAGCGACACCATGCAGCCCTGTTTAGATAAATAGAAAAAAAATGACAATGATTGACGGCTGCTATTCATTTATAGAGTCTAACTCGGAGAGTCATGACTAGGAGGTTCCGGCTATTTGGCCAGTGTCACTGCGATAGCCGGGGTCCGTCGGCCCTGTGCTGTCAGGGGGACCTGGTATGACAAGTCCTATTTCCCAGAAGCAGCTAAACTGATAAGCTGCTTCATGTCCAGTAGCTACTCCCTGGATTTCTTGCTCTCTGAAGGAAACGAGATGAAGTCACGCCTGTCGGGATTGCCCACTCATTCACCATCAGGACAGTGAGGTCCGTGTTGGTTCTGTCTACAGCAGGTCCATCACCTTCACGGCTCAGGACAATCACACGGAGGTGTGGCAGGTGCCATCGTGCCATTAAACCAGAGACACCGGATCACTGACTCCGCCCACAACTGAATGATGACACAATGTCCGCAGGAACCACGCATAACAGAGCCCCTCCCAACGTGGATCCTGTCGATCATGAGACTCACGGCATACAGTTTGGCCAATATGCTTTTCTACATCATATTCATCACTTGACCTGAAATTCCCATAATTCTTTGCAAGTTGACAATACTTAAGTGCAACTGATCAATGGTATATATGTATATATATACAGAATATATATGTATATACATATATATGCACATATGCTTATAGGCATACTACTGTAACATTTTAACATTAGCAAAGCATCTAGGTGCAAATACATGGACTTGGCATGAAGTTGAGAGATTCTTTGATTTTTTTGAAAGATGGCAAAGTATTTTTTTTTTTGCAGCATCAAATGTAAAACATCACACAAGTGTGTCCTGGTCAGACATCAAAGGGCGAAAAAAAAAAATTAGGATTGTTCCTCCTGAACGTGGCGCCAGTGGCTCTAATGTCTATTCAAGTCCATCTCAAGGAGAAGGAGAGGAGCGTCAGACGGTGAGGAGGAGAGGAGCGTCAGACGGTGAGAAGGAGAGGAGCGTCAGACGGTGAGGAGGAGAGGAGCGTCAGACGGTGAGAAGGAGAGGAGCGTCAGACGGTGAGGAGGAGAGGAGCGTCAGACGGTGAGAAGGAGAGGAGCGTCAGACGGTGAGGAGGACGGGAAGCTCCTGCCGCTGTTCGTCAGCATTCAGAATACTTCAGCTACATATTTGCCAACTCTCATAAATAAATAGAAAATAAGACAATGGGCAGCACATTTGGCAAGACTGAGTCCCCTTAACATGACGCACAGGGCTGAACATATAACCCGACAGATTTATGAAAGTAAACACAGTAGAACTTAACAAACATAGACATATTTTCCTAATAAAGGCTCACGTTTTAGAGTCATAACCTTCTTAATTTGAATATGTGAAAATGCATTTTAAGGTGATTAAAACAACATAGCTAATAAAGGCACATGGATAGCCGGAACATGTCTGCAATAGCCTAAAGATAAATGGTTTCTTTATATATTTATGTAAATGGAATTTTACATAGATTTAATTGTAGATCTTCTAAGATTACCAAATTGCTTTGGTCACAGTTCTGTACTTGTAGTGCGATCATCGCTAGCTGCTGCGTCATATATTTACTTTGTGATTTTATGAAAATGCTGTACCTAAGAAACATTTAATACAAAATGTTCTGATTTAACACACTGATCATTTCTTTGTATAATAAAATGAAAGCACTTTTATTTGCTGTGCCTCTTTGCTACATTTGCTCTGCTAATGTACAGAACAGCATTACCAATAGGAAGCGAGTGTTGGGCCTCTGGTTCATTCACAGGCACTGCAGTAACCAATGGAGTCACAGAGTCAGAGAGGGCAATTATGCAGAATGCAATAATCATACAAAACCATAATGAAACAAAAGTAATGGAGTGAAAGAGTCACATGCATCCCAAACTGGCTAAAATGGGGTTTATTTCAAGCCTAAAAACCCACGAAATTCCTATAAACAGAGAAAGGCATGAAGACAGAAATCTGAGAGGGAAAAGCAGAGTGCAGCAGTCAGATAATCTCGGGAAGATTATCTGGGTTGTGCGGCCACAGGGAAGCACTTACCCTTAAGTCCAGCTAGAAGATAGCAGAGGGTAGGAAGGAACAAACCAGAATGACACAGAGACCAGCAACAGGGCTGAGGAGGGCAGACAGGGGACCTACCCTACTGGCTGAAGTCGCAAAGGAACAAGCAAAGCATGGCGAGGAAGGACTCATGGACACGCCGGGCGTTAATGTCAGACAGAGGGAGACGCGGAAAGAGACAATCACTGCTGCTGCTGGCCATCTTTCATTGGCATCGCAAGAACTAAACAGGAAGTGTGAGAACATGAGGTTTCTGCTATTGGGGCTCACCTTGGTGGCCTATTACACCACCCGGCCCTCGGAGGCCTGCTACACCACCCGGCCCTAGGCAGCCTCCTGCACCACCCGGCCCTCTGAGGCCTGCTACACCACCCGGC